CCTGTTTTAGCCAAACCAGGACAGGTGGCGAGGGCCTTAGCCTGGGATTTGGGAAATCGAAGCTCCTGTCTGCCTTAGACTTTCTGTGAGATCTTAGGCCATTCATGCAGAGCCTCAAATCAGGCACCTGAGCTCTTGCTGAAATCACTGAGATTTGAACACCTTTATAGACATTTGCAGCGTCTGCATGGCCGTCAGCGTGCCTGTAATTGGAGGCAGAGAACACCGCTGCCCTTCTTCCCGTCCATACATGTGTTGGAGATCGAGGGCCATGCCACTGCGCTGGCAGCAAGGGCTGCCCAGGCAATCCACGCGTGGTCTGGTAACTTTGGACCAGTTTGAACTTGAAGTTTGAGACAGCAGGAAGAGAGCTGAGCCATTTGAACGAAGAAATGGCTGAAGACATCACAGGCTTGTAAACTGGATGATTAAAAAAGCTAGAAAACAGATACATCCCCCAGGATGGAGAAGGCATGTGCCTTGTTACTCCTAGTCTCCTATTATTATTGGTTTTTTATATATAACCTAAATCACTACAGGAACAGTTCTATGGTGTCCTGTTTCTAAACACGTGAACTCTGGTCGAGATACTGGATGCCTAAAAATAGCCTGTAGTTTTGTATCTGTGTAGTATACAGCAAAAAACTTACTGGGAAAAGCTGTTCTAAATCCGGTATAAAGAATGCAAGTGAGAAACAAATATGTGTCATGTAAGTGCGAGTCTGACTTGTCTGCCCATAGCAGAGCAGCCGTCTCCAGTCTTGTTGCATGCTGTTCTTCACGTCCTCCCCTCGCCCCTTGTTGTCCTGCAGAGCACTTAGGTTTAGATAAGGCCAATTAACTCCTTGGAATTCCGTTTATAAATGACTTCCTTTTGAAAAGAACCTCTAGCTATTTTGAACATTGTCTTATCTGTGTTTTCTGAGTACAGAGTTGGTTGGGGGTGTTTTGTCACTTTTTTGGTATTTTTTGGGGGTGTTTTTTTTTGTTGTTGTTCTTTTTTACTGAGTTACATTTCCTGACGAGGTGTCAGTTCAGTGCATCCTGGTCAGGAGATTTCGGTTTCATTTTTGCATAGGAGGTGGTAACTCATAGGACACTAGGTAAATGGATTGTCAGATTGACTCATGATTGGCAACTGTTTCATTACTTGAATTTCAGGTATGCTTTTTTTGTTGTTGTTAAAGGAGGGAAACAAGTGATCTGTTGCAAAATGTCAAGGCAGTGCTGAAGGCAGATTCCTTACTGTAACATTCAGTACAGGACACAGACTTTGCTGATATCCTGCACCAATATACAAGCAATTTAGGTAATATTTCTCTGTCCTTCCCCACATCATTACACCACCATAACTTTCCATAAAATTGCAGGAATTTTGGCTTTCAAGCAGCCAGAGCAGTTACTAAGCTACAGTACAAAAGTGAATGTCGGCCAGGTTACACCGTATGTAACCCAGGCAATCTTAGCCTGTTCTGATACAGTACCGCCAATCGGTTGTAGCTGGGTAGTGAGCTTTTACTCAGGAGCAATGGCTAGCCTTGCACTGTGTTGTCAGGACAGTAGTTTTTGCATGATTTCAGTCTCGGAGATTCAGGTGGAGCCCAAATGGCAATCTCTAAACAGCTCTGGTACATGGGACATCGCATGAGTGAAGCTGGATGCATCCTGCGTGAGACCCACATGTGGATGCCAGGTACAAGAACGGCCTTGTACCTCCTCTTCTTTAAAGCCAAAAAAAACCCCAAAACTGAACTGTCTTGTGTCATGTAATGATTTGAAGATACGGCATGGAAAAGACAATATCCATATTTCAGCTTTCCCCCTTCTTTCTATCAACTGTGGCTAGCACTGGGGAAATAGATTTACAGAAAGGGGGTCAGAGCAAAATTGGAGAAAAGCATCACAGTGAGACTGCGCAGTGCTGAATGTTCCAGGCTCTCTAAGAAGCCCTTATCTGAGGTGTCCAGTGCTGAAGGTTTAGGTGGGGTGTTTGTGACTGACGAGGAAATGGCTGGATGCAGAGCTGCCTTCACGTGCCGCATGGGGAGAGCTGTTATCCGTAAAGAAAGGAGACATGTATAACGTGTTGGCTCTCTTTATCATTTCAGGAATGGGAATGGAGGGAAGAGCTACTACACTGTTAAGTATTTGCAGGAGTTAGCAGACAAAACACACTTGCTTCATTTGTAATGAAGTTGTGAAATACCTTTTAAAAATAGTTCATGTAATCCATCGTGTTTTCTCACAACCATCTCACAAGTTTGCAGTGTTTTTAAGACTGGGGAAGCAAAGCCCTGCCTCTGAAGCCTGTAGCTAGAATTTCCGTGAGCTGCTGATGTAGTCTTTTCTAAGTCATTCACAGCACTTCAAAAATGTGAACATCCTTCTCCTTGCTCAATACATAGGGAACAAATTTATGCAGATGTGGGTTGGCTTGTCAACCAGATGTGACTGTTTCTTTTCCCATGGAAGTCCTGGCAAGATGGGGCAAAATGGAGAATAATGCAAAGAGCGAAGAAACAGAAAAAACAGTCTTTCTGCAATTGTCAATGACTTTAGTGAATGAGTCTGTCTCCTGCTTACATCCTAGTGTTTTCATGTATGCTGTGTATGCCTCTTCTGTTAATGTTTTTAGACATGTAGCATAGAGGAGGGAGAAAATCAAACTGAGAGGTGAGCGAGAGTAGAGAAAGGAAGGAATCATACAAGTTCAGTCTGGGGCAAGATGATGTATGACCACTGCAGCTCCTGGTCCCACCTGGCCTGGCCCTCACAGCGTGTTCTCAGCTGTGTAGTTAGTTTTGCAATGCTCCAAACAACCGAGGTTTCTGTCGCTTCCTTTGCGATACCTGAGGTGAAACGCTGTGTGCCAAAGCCCCATGCTGAATTGGGACAGCAGGGATTTATACTTTGAAGACTGCATGATGCAAAACCAGACCTGCATTAACTTTCCACTGCTAGAACTGACAGAAGAAGGTCCTGCTATTCCAGCAGATCTGGGCCTCTCTCTTGCCCAAGAAGAAACTCTTATACTGAGCTCAGATTTGTAGGTGGAGATGTTTCACCTGCTCTCCAGATTTGTTGGCACTGAAAATAGCTCTTCCGTCCAGCTTCCTTCTGGTAATTCTGACTCAGGCTTCCAGTAATGGAGGGTGTTTTTTTCTTTCTTCTTTTTTTTTTTTTTTTAAATTTAAAAAAAGGAAATAATTGGAGTGTTTATGCTTAAGAGCTTCCCATCTTTCACTTCTGCTGGTGGAGCATGGGTCTCTTTGTAAGTCTGGCACTCATCGTAGGCTATAAACTTGAAGTGGCGCTGCTTTTGGAGTTGCTGATCGCTTTGGATGCCATGAGCTGCTGTCTTGACCTTGCTCGCTGTCGGGAAGTTCCAGTGTGATTCTGTTTGTGTAGGGTTGGACAAAGGATCTCCTCGATCATGCCTTCCCAGCTAGGAGTGTCTTGGGAGCTCTCCTAGCTGGCTGCGGTGCAGCGGGCTGGATGGCCCAAAGCCATCATTAACTCTTGACACAGCAGTTGGCCCCTGGAGAGACCCGGCCAGCCCGTGCGGCAGCCTGACCCCTGCCATCGCTGGCCTAGTGGGGGTATCTCGGTGTCGTTTGGGCTCCTGGGCCTCGTGGCTGCTCTCTGTAGTGGAGGTCCTCACCAGTGGTCCTGGTCTCTGCAAGGGCGAAGTGAGCCTGAGGGGCAGCTGGAAGCGGGTGGGCTCAGGCTAAGGGTAGTGGCCCTTAACCTCGGGAGAGCTGTTAGTTGGTGCTGACCCACAGGTTGTGTTCTGGTGCAGTTAGGTAATTACTTTGAACAGCGGTTTTAATGTTAAAAACAAAATTGAGAAGTTGTTAAGTAAATGCTTGCCTCAAGGGCAGTTTGTAAGAAGATGTCAAGTGTCGGTGTTCTGATTTAACGCTTGGTCCTTTCCCAGCTTTTGGTTGTAATTTTGTTCAGTCTTTCCCATTCCCCCTGTATGGATCTCCTCAGCTGTCCTCCAGTCTGCCCGTCTGGTCCCCAAAGTGATGCTGTTTCTCTTCCATTAGCAAATCCAACCCAGAGCTCTCAGTGGGACTTGCCAGTTCAGAATAAAGCATGTGATCCTGCAATGAGAATCCACACAGCTCCTTTTAACGAGGACCTGTCTTGTTGGGAACCGCAGAGCAGTTTTGTACAGAGCTGCCTTCGAAACAAATGGGAAAACGGTGACTAAAGTAATTCCTCCAGTGCAGAGCAAGTCCAGTATTCCCATATAAACTCCAACAGGTCTTGTACGAGTCCTTTGAAAGTGGCAATGTTTGCACAGGTAATCTGTTAGTGCTAGCTGGAGGTGTATGAAAGGTGGGCTTATGCCTGAGATCTCATGTTTCAAAGCAAAACGTGACATTTAGGGATCACCCATCTTAATGCCGTGTAGTTATTACAACTATGGGAGGAAGACTCCTGTCCTGCAGCTGCAGGAGGACATGTGTCCCTGCAGGCTTTCATCACATGGGAGCACACGCACAAGATGTTCACACTTCTTGCAAGAATGTATTTACCTTGGCCAGTTATTCCCTGCGTATATGTTGACAAAGGCATGTACGCATTTGCAAGATTTGTTAGTTTCCAGAATTATTGCCCGGGGCTTTTCATTCACAAACGGAAAGTATTAAAGTCCACTAACAACATCGGAGTGTAAGATCTGAGTACAGACCACAACTGTCTTTAGTGGTGTTGTATTTTTATACTTGTTGGGGTTGAAGGACTGAGGGTTAAGACTGCTTTCTCACCTGTACCCGTTCTGTTCTAGCTGTTCTCACCCAGCAGACCATTCGCTGGCTTAAACAGTTCGAATGACCCCAACACCCCGCTCCTCATAAGCTACCAGGTGAGAACGATGGTCGGCTTCAGTGGGATCGGACACCAGGCTCTTAGCTTGGTAACATCGTGGTGTGGAGGGGAGCAGTTGTGACTGTTTTCCCTTCAGAGGGAGTGAGATGAGAATCGGACAGATACAAGTCACTGCCCTTTCCCAGAAGCGTCTTCCATTTCCCTTGTTGGAACCTCGCTATGTTAAAGAATGATTTGGGCTTTCATGATGTTGCTTTATGCTGCCGAGTACCATGCTGAGTTTAAAGCTTGTCTAGGTCCCTTACTCAGGGCCAGATTAGAGCACAGCTGGGCAGAATTGATGCTAGCCCACAGCCCATCTGACAAGTGATGTAAGCATCTTTCACTGGTTTGGTGTGGACTAGGCATTGAAAGTAGCTCCTAAAGCACTTGCTGGGCCCCCGGGGTGGGCTCTCGCAGATGGTTTTCTTTGTGTTGCTGTAGGCTATAAATGAGATTAATTGTATTTGAATGGTTTGTGAATTTGCATAGGGATGGTTTAAATGGTAGTTCCTGGCACTGTGTAGCAATGCCTGTGTCCATAGTTCAATGAGAACATTACCATTTGTCAATGCTGTGTTTCTTTTCAGTCTCAGGCTTCTGCAGAGGAGGAGGATGAAGGTGAGGAGGAAGAAACGGAAGAGCTGGGGCAAACGGAGACCTATGCAGAATATATACCTTCAAAGTGTGAGTGTCTTGCCATCGCAGGAGTATGGGAAGTTCTGTTAACATCGTTGCAGACCTGCCTAATTAACTGCTTTCTTATTTTCCTGCAAGCAGTATATGGTATTTGCCATGGCATACCCCAAGCTTGTGACTTTTCTAGAAGAACTTTGCCAGCATACTGATCCTTCCTTGGTGCTATGCTAATTTAACAGAACATTTCTCTGCTGCTTGCTGTTGGGGCAGGCATGACTTGGTTTTGGCAATCTGAAATTTCAATGGAAGAAAAGAGTGAAGAGCAGGGGTCGGGCTTGTCTCTTCTGTTCCTGAGCAGAAGGCTACAGTCTATTAATATGAGGTCCGCAGCCCTTTTTGAGGTGCCCTGTGGGAGTCCAGAACTTGAATTATCTGTTTTCTGTGTTGTCATTTAGCCAAGATTGGGAAGCACCACCCCGACCTCGTGGTTGAGACGAGCACTCTGTCCAGCGTCCCCCCGCCTGACATCACCTACAGCCTGTCCCTGCCGCTCTCCGTTGCCGACAAAGGGTCGCTCTCTGCACTACAGCTGGAAGCAATCATTTATGCCTGCCAGGTATGCGGCTCCACAGCTTGCATGTCTTGCACAAGAAGGAAGCTGCCTTTTGTATGGACAGATGTTCAACTGTGTTTAAAAATAACCTGTAATATAGGTGATGAAACTTTGGAAGCTTTGGCCTATGGCATTTTAAATGCCTTTTGAAAGGATTATTTGAAGCTGGGGACTTCTGTGGGGTCTATTTCCCAAAGAGGCGAGAACCCTTGAGTTTTATTGCAAAGGGGAGTGCTTTACATTGGGGGCACCTTGGGGGCCTTTTCCATGAACTGCCCCTTGTGAGCTTGGCCATGACACTTGACCGTTCCAGCTGTTGTTTATCTGAGCAGTAAACGCGCTTGCGTCGATGGGATATGTGAAAGGGTTAAGTGGTGCTCTTATACGCTCACATCAAAGCTGTCAGCAGAGGCAAATCCAGTTTAATTTCCAGTTCTGTTCTTGATTTTGCAGCAACATGAAGTTTTATTACCCAATGGGCAGCGAGCTGGGTTCCTCATTGGGGACGGTGCTGGAGTTGGAAAGGGCAGGACAGTTGCTGGCATCATCTTTGAAAATTATCTTAAAGGGAGGAAAAAAGCTCTATGGTAAGTTGTTGGGTTTGATTTTTTTTTTTTTCCTCTTTTCCCGTAAGACCTTGGAGTTAGTTTGGATCTGGGAGTAAGGAATTCCTTAGTGCTGATGTTGGCTTTATAGTTGACTCATGCTGTGGCCTTGGGTAAGTCGTTTCCACCTCTTTGTGCCTGTGAAATTGGAATATTTCCCCCCGCAGCGGTGATGGAGAATGAGTCACTATGAAATAGCAGATTATGTAGTACTTGGAGTGCAATGGCAAGCCTATCCCCGCTCTCTTTGAAGTCGACAGAGGGGTATTTGTGGACTTCCCGGGTGCAGACTCAAGCCCGTGGCGTACAGGGTTTTACTGCAGAATACACACAGCTTGTCCTAAGTGGCAGACGGGAGTCTGCTGTAGGGTCTTGCGTTGAAGTGTGTGGGCAGTTGGAAATGTGTCAGTTTTGCACACCTACTGTTGCTTTAGTCAGAGCTATTAATCACTGTGCATGCCCCAACTATCTCCTTAGGAGATAACCAGACCCACGTCTTGCTTTGCAGGTTCAGCGTCTCCAATGATCTGAAGTATGATGCTGAGAGAGACCTGAAGGACATTGAAGCCTCCCACATTCCTGTGCATGCTTTGAATAAGGTAGGGAGAGAAGTTGTAATGGTGTTCTGGAAAATCAGCCTGCAGTAGCAGTTAGATGGATCCATCTTAGCATGTAAAGCAGCAGTCGCTTCTGCCTCCACGTGGCTGGTGGCACAGGCAGTAGCAGACAGCAAGCTGCTTGCTGTTCCCTTCT